CCACCCGGTGTTTATCACCGGGTGTAGGATCGAAGAAACCGCAGATTGTCATCAACTGGGATTTGGCTATCAAGTAAATTCGACATGAGAGTGAAACTGCGTATAATCCTTGGATATAGCTGTTTAATTAATTGGGTCAAGTTTCTATTGGGTTGTATTGTTTAATTGGTTGGGACAGCATTTAAGATATTTTTGCATAGTCGACCTTTTAATTAATTCGAGCAAGTTATCAGTTTAACTATGAGTAAAGCTCATAAATATTTCATGGATTAGAAGGTTTAAATAATTGGGCCAGGATTTCATTTTATTTGTACGATGGGTCTTTTAATCAATCTGCGCAAGTTACAATTTAAATAGGCCGGGATTGTTGGGCCGCATCGAGACATTTTGGTTCGTTGGGCCTCTTAATTAAATGGGCCAGATTGCAAGTTTTTTACGGCCTTTAGTTTGTTGGGCTTCTTAATTAACTGGGCTGGGTTGCAAGATTTTCTTGGTTAGGGACCTTTTCGTTAATAATGCAGAGTTTAAAATTATTATTCGTTTGGATAATTTAATTAATTGGGCCGTGTTTATTAACTATTTTAGGGTCTGGTCAGGAAATATTTTTTCTATATAATGGCCGTTTTAATTAATTGGATTATTCCTTCATATGTTGGGCATTTTTAATGGTTTGGGGCTTCAATTTTTGGGCCAGGTAAAAAAAATTGTTTTGCTGGGCCGGATTAAAACGTTTTCTTACATAGGATCTTTCTGTTAGTTAGGCCGACTTTAAAATTCAATTAATTTGGCCGAGTTGATTAGGTATTCTTTTATTGGGAAGTCACGCAATTAAGATATATCACTCAACTAATAAACTCTTATATCTGATAAAATGTTCTAATAGTTAATAAGCTGTTATATCATATTTTTATGATTAAATTTTAGAGGGTTTGAATAATGGACTTATTTCCTCTTAAATAAAAAAGTGGGGTAAAAGTAGTTATTTAAGTCTAAAACATCTTATTAACTCTTTTTAAGATGTTATAAGCTTCGCCAAACAACCTCTAATTTAGTTTTCTATAACGGTCATAATTATGTATGTACACTAATGGTGTCAGTACAAATTCTCTATTAAGAATTAAATAAATTTCTAACAAAAGTTAATAATTCTAAATTAATAATATTATTTCGAAATCATATATTGAAAAAATGGTTTCAATTTCATAATAACAACACTTGAAACAAATAAACAATTAAGAAAAAATATCATTATAAAATTATTTAATAACAGATATTTTATTTTCATGAAGTTGAGATATAGATGTGGAGGTATGCGTAACCCTGATTTTCTAGCAAAAGAGTGTCAAAATGGGCTTTAAACACCTCCAAAAACTCAATATTAGGAGAGGCCCTAAACATATAACAAATATCGTGTGCTGATTTTGCTCTGTTACTTATGTTGCCAACTCCTTCAAAATAAAAAAAAAATAAAAATAATTTACTGATTCACCAGCGAAATATGATAAAATTAGCTGATTCAACAGCGAAATAAGTTATATACATCGATTCAAGATATGAAACTAAAAACATGGAAGTAAAAGATGAAGAAAGGAGAGGTGGGAAGCTCATATTCTATGGGTGTAATAGAGTCTATCAAGCTTGTAGCATTCAGTACGAGGAATTACTTTTATAATCACCGCCAACCACCTCCTCTTTTTTTCCATCAAATCCAATCTCACTTTCATAAATTTTGAATAAAAATAAAAATATCATCATCAAATCGAAAAATCAGACAAAGAAAAATAATTTTTCATCAAATCCAATCTCATATTCATAAATTTTGAATAAAAATGAAGATAACATCATCAAATCGACAAACCAGACGAAGAAAAATAAATAAATAATGTTTTCATCAATTGGAACTGTTTTCAACGATAAGAAATCTGCAGAGAGAGAAGATGAAGGAAGAGAGCATATGCTTACTGTGTTTGATTGGAAATGGCGAAGTGCTGTTTTTATAGAGAAGAGAAAGGATGCGAATGAAGTAAACCCTAGCCCACCGTGGGTAAACTGGACTGCACTAATGGGCTTGTGAGTTAACTGGGCTGCGCTAATGGGCCTGTATTGAATGGGCCGGTCAATTATCCAATTTCTAAGCCGATTCACGATCACACCCAATTTTGTCGACCCGGTTTCAAGACATTCGAGTTAGTCCTCTTCCTTCTAGGGTTCATATCTCTCACCTTTTGTTCTAAATCTCTCAAAATCGATTCTGCCCGAGGATTTGTTTCTGTAAAATTCCGTTTCCTTCCGAGGTAAGTGCGATTTTCGGATTTAATTTGTATTTATACATTGCTATTTTGCTGAATTTTCATGGTTACGTAATATTTTTTTTTTTTTTTTTTTTTTTATTTTCAGGTTGTGTGGGCAGTAGTAAAGTATACCTGCCGCAGGCATGGCAAGTAACCAGCCACCTTCTGGTTCACAGGTAAACTTTAGCTGATCGCATTTTGTAAACTGCAACTCGGTTCTCATTGTTTTGGGAATTTTCTCGTCGAAATTGACGAAATGGATACCTAGCATGGAAATGGCAGCTCTGTAAGAGAATTAGATTAATGAGTTAGGTTTTGCATATTCAGTTATTAAATTTGCTTAGCCGGGGCATTGCTGTGAAACTAGCCAGCTACTGGAGAGAGTTACTTGTGTAATTCCATTGAGTTAATTGAGATTAGCGAATTAAGTAATTCTTGACTGAATATAGTTCTGCGCGTAACTTTTGGATTGTTTGATTGGCTCTACTGAACTCTATTTACTCTGGATAGTGTGGGATTTGTCTAACAAGTAATAACTATGAGATGTTCAAATATCGATTTCGTTTGAGATTATAATCTCTTCTGATATGTTTGTTTTCCTGTTATAGCCACATTGGCAACATCCTCAATCCGGACCTATGGCTCCACAGAATTATGCTCCTTCCTATCCGATGCAAGTATGTAATTCAATCATATTTAGGTTTTCTTGTTTTCTTCCAGAATTAGTTTCTCTGGGTCCCAAACAACATAAGTACATTATTGATGTATCAAATATGTATATGCCACAGTTCCGTCCTGCAGGACAGGCCCCACAAGGGCAATCGTTTATCCCTCAGCAAGCTACTCAGCAATTTCATACAGCCGGACAAGCACAAAATCATGGGATGCCTCTTGGTCAAAGTCAACCGAATCCATTTTCTCAACAAATGCAGCAGTTTCTACCACGGCCTGGCCAGCCTGTGCCATCTTCGTTTCCTCAATCAAATATGCAGCCTACTTCAGGCATGCCTCAGCCCCAGGCTGCCTCAAGCCATGGAGCTCCGTATTCATCATCGTATACTGTAAGAATTTGACAAATACATATTCTTGATTCTGTGCCGCATTTAATTTTGGCTTCATCTGATATATTTTATTTCCGTTTCAGTATGCACCGTCTTCTTTTGGTTTGCCACAAAGTGGCATCAGTGCGTCTCCTCAATTCCAACCTTCCCAAATGTCTATGCCTGGCGGTCCTCCTACTGGTGCACCACAGTGGTTTCACTCAGGTCAAAGTACACCAGGTGTTGCACCATTGCAGCAACCCAACCAGCCACCCTTCCCTGCCAGTGCAACTGTACCAGTAAGTATCCTTATTCTATTGCTCATTGTTATTGAACTTCTTTTAAAGTGATTTTTGTAGGGTCCAGGCATCTTACTGTAAATTTAATGTTTGTCATTTGAACTATTGTGGGGTTGCACATACATGAAATTCTAATAGAAATTTTATTCTCAACTTTCATATTATTTTCCTGTACTTTTTTCAGGCTGTTAGTGGTTCTAGTGCGGTTCAACAGAATGCTTCTGATTGGCAAGAATATGAAGCTGCTGATGGAAGAAGGTGTTAATTATTCTTTGATTTACTTATGTTTTCTAGTTTACATGTCTCCGCAGAATGTCATCTAGGAATTGAAAGTTGGACTTTTTTGGGAATGTGACTGCCATAATTTGACAGTGAGAGATATAATTGATTAACTGGAGCGCTTTCCTTTTTTGAGTGTCGACTATTATACTTCTCTAGTTGTATACTGCTGGCTTATCTTAATGGTTTGATTTATATGCTTCTATCAACAATATTTTGGAGCTGATATATTTATATTATGTATCTGCTCAGATATTATTATAACAAGATCACGAAGCAGTCTAGTTGGGAGAAGCCTTCTGAGTTGCTGACTCCTTTGGAGGTGAGTGATTTTCTTGATGTGCTGCTTTTCAGAAATCATGAGTAACATCTATTTATTTTTTGGATCACTATTTTTGTTCTGCTGCGTTCTTGTGCAAATTTGTCCTATTCTGTAGACATTAAAGTTGTAGACTTGTTTAAATTGTTCAAAATTGTTTATGTGTATTATTGTTTATATGCATGTCCTTCCACTGGTTTGTAGATGTCATGGCAAGCCAGGGGAATATAACGACTGCTCTTTGTCCTCACTTTCAAGGCGGTTTCACTTTCTCGAGGCAGGCAACAAATTGCTATTTATATTTCATGTGCAATTTTGGATTTAATTTAGTGATAATCTCTCGATGCTGCTGTTGCCTGCCATTACTAGAACAGTATGTGCACTATCACTTGTTTGACTTGAGGAGCATGATGCATATTTTTCTGAAGTATTATTACCTATGGATAATAGACGATATGCGCCCTACTAGTTGTCTAAGTTGGGAAGCTAATATGCATGTTTTGTTAAGTTCAGTTATTTATTAAAACATGTTTGAGTCTTTCTCATTTGAAAGATTCTCCAGTAATTGGTTTGGTTCCTTGTATGTTGTGATTTTGATACTTAAGAGGTGCACCTACTGTTAGGTTTCTTTCAGCCTGCATAACTTGGAGTCCCATCCATCCAAGTGTATATATATTTCATGCGATTTTCCAATTATCCAGCTGCTATTTACTTGTGAGATTTTTGTTTATTCTGGTTCTAATTATTTTTTTTCCGTAGTTCAAAACTCAGTATGAGTGGTCTCCATAGGTGTTGCGATATCTGTTTTTGGATTTACCATTTTGTATGGATTTATAAATATTGTTGGTTTGGTTGATTTGATGGTACACTGCCTCTCTCATGCATTCCTTTAACGAGGTCTACAGGTACTGAGCAAAAAGTTATGAGATTTTTTCGGATGTAATATATTGGATACTTTTGTTAAACTCTGTGAAAACTAGTGGGGAAGGGCTTGTTTTGACAAAAAGACCATGATAACTAGCTACAAGCATATTGTTCTTGTTGTGCTAAGATCCGCTTCATAGTCTTAGTATTATTGCTGTTATTATCCATGCACTTATGATTCTGGTAATTATGCATATTAGCTCTATAAGTATGCATCGAATGTCCCATCTCAATTAACATGACTTGATCGTGCAGATATCTTGTTTTGGTAAAATTTCTTTTTTTGTTTCTATTTACTTTCTCAGAATGTTTTGATCTGTGAACTTGGATATCTGCACCTTATAAGCTTTAACCTTTGAATTTGGTGTTATGCTTTTTATATGAACAATTGGAATTTATTAGGATATACATTTATAGGAACATTGTATGATGAAATTAGCGTGTTAATGATGAATGGCTGAAGCCTGAAAAGTATATATAGGCTATGTAATATTTCACTGCTTGTTGGGAATGAGAAGGAATAATGGTAAATAATCTAGCACGGAAACTGTAAACAGCACAGCGGCTGGTTCTGGCCTGTATCTGGTAAATGTTGAGAAATGTTTCTGTTGCTAGTAACTTGTGGTTGAACATTAAAATAGAAGTAGAGTATAGTTAAGATCTTAGAGTTAGAGTAAATTTATTTCAGTGAACGCAAGAAATTCATTCATAAAGTAAATAAAGGTAATAAACTTCAGGCACATTATTGGAACTAGGAACAGCAAATTCATTCCACACACCTGAACCTTAGTGAAGAGTATAGAAGCAGTCCTGGATTGGGCTGAGATTAGTTAAATAGAAATCCTGCAAGTAGGTTTTTCCTTACGTTGTGCAGTATTGGATCACTTTAGGCTGCTGAATTGTTTACGACTTGTTGATGCCTTTGTTTCTGTTTTATTCCTCAAAATATTTGACATCTGGAAGCCTTTGTAGCATTTTATATTTAGTTTTGTATACCATGTTATACCATCCATTTCTTAATTTTATCCTGCTTTATGAATCTCCAAGTGAGCCTTTTCTACGCTGTGAGTGAGAACTTATCTGACTGAAAACTTCTGTTTTGACAGAGAGCTGATGCATCAACGGTTTGGAAAGAATTCACTACTTCTGAGGGTAGAAAGTGAGTATGACTTCAGTCATGCACGCATAATTATATCCTCTGAAATGTTGATGCTTAATTACATGTAGACCTTTGAATGTCTGTAAAATATCCCTTGAATCATATATATAAAGTCATGTTGTTGTTACTTACGCAGGTATTATTACAACAAGGAGACGAAGCAATCTAAATGGACAATACCTGATGAATTGAAGGTTTGCTGAAAAATGTCCCCTTATATTTTTATCTTTTGTTGTACTAAATCTTTCTCATGTGCTCCAGTTGGCTCGTGAACTGGCTGAAAAGGCTGCCTCCGAGGGACCACATTCGGAAATGAATACTAGCTCTACTATAACAACCTCTACTACGGGCACTTCTGTTGAGGCCAACCCCACCACAACAACAATAGCAGGGGTCACTTCAAGTCCTGCCCCAGTACCCGTTGGTTCTGATGCTAATGCTTCTATGATTTCTGAATCAGCAGATGTTCCTGCTATACAGATTGCTACGACAAGTTCGTTTGGTGTGACCTCAGTGGCAGAAACAGTGGTTCCCTCCCCTTATGAAGTTCCTGGAAGTTCTGGTGCTCCAGTTATAATCGCAAACAACAATACAACCCCATTGTATGAAGTTCTTTAGCTAACCAGGTTTCATGCTTTGTGGATTTGTTATATTGATTTCTAATTGAACATATTTCAGGACCAGCACGGAAATTCCATCATCCCATGTTAGGGCGAGTCCCCTAGGTGGAGCTTCTTTCCAGGATACTGAGGTATGACTAGTTAGTTAAGATTTGTATATGCAATGCAGATGTTTGTTTTTTCTGGATATTGCGCCTTTTCTGTTTCTATTGGGTTTAGCTAAATTCCGTTCCTTCCTTTTCCATTGCATCTTCCTTCCCTATCTGCCTCACCCCTATCTTCTTGCCCTGTCTGATTTTCACTTCCCCCTTACTTCTTAGCTCTCCTTCTCCTGCTAAGTGTCTGAAACTGGTTGATTTATTGATGAAGATGCAAATATATGTTTTGTATACTGCTGATTCACTTATCATATAATTGGAAAAGTAATTGGTAGTAATGGTCTTTGTCTTGATTTTTAAGGAGGAAAAGAAAGGGACAACTGTTGATGGAAAATTAAATGTTACGCCAGTGGAAGAGAAACCAATGGATGATGAACCCATGGTATATGCCACCAAGCAGGTATGACACTTTAAAGTGCTATAGCTGTTATATTTACAGGTGGATTTGTACATGTATCTGATATCCTTTATGTTCAGGAGGCAAAAAATGCATTTAAAGCACTATTGGAGTCTGCTAATGTTGAGGCTGATTGGTCATGGGACCAGGTAAATTGAATATACTACTCTGTTCTTCTGTAAATGTATTTGAAAATGGTAAACATTGTTATACAATGTTGTGTCAGGCTATGCGGGTGATAATTAATGACAAAAGATACGGTGCCCTGAAAACCCTCGGTGAACGGAAGCAAGCATTTAATGAGGTACTTGCCTACTTGGATATATTGATAGTTTGCTCGTGAGTTTTCTACAGATTATTCTAGAGTTTGCTTACTTTTAATAACTTTTTTAACTCTTATCAATTATAGTACTTGATGCAACGGAAAAAAGTGGAGGCTGAGGAGAGGCGTCTCAGGCAGAGAAAAGCGAAGGAGGAGTTCATGACAATGCTGGAAGTAAGGATTAAAATCCTTTCAGTAGTTTCCTGCTAACTGTGTGTAGTTTATTGTATTTCTACTGCTATATTTAAGCATCTCAAGGGGAAGCTACACGTTCGTGGGTTAGGGCCTTGTGAACTGCTGACTGCAACTTAACATGCTACTTGCCTCATGTTTTGGCATGGACAATATTTTTATTTTCTCAATGCCATTTATACTTATATTTGATTTTTTATGATGTGCAGTCTGGCATAAAAAAACTGTTGATATATATACAGATTTTGTTGTTCTGTTTCATAAGAAAACTAATTTAAGTATTTTAATTTTCATTTAGGAATCTGAAGAACTCACATCATCAATGCGATGGAGGTAGTTCAGCCTCTCTTCTTACTTGGACTTCAGCAAGAATTTCCCATCTAACATTCTTTTTTATTATCCAGCAAAGCCGTAATAATGTTTGAAGATGATAAGCGTTTCAAGGCTGTTGAGCTAGAATCAGACCGAGAGGATCTCTTTAGAAACTACTTGGTCGACCTTCACAAAAAGGTATGGACTAGGCAGTGGTATTTTGTTTTCCTTTTTGGTCATTTGCATCGAACTAAATTTTGATGTCATTGAAACAAAATTCAATTTTATCAAGATCATGTCCTTGTGAGATGACTCATGAAGTACCTTTTGTTTTCCAAGTTTCCATGCTTCAGTAAAAAATGTGTGATGATCATTCAGAATACTAAGGTTATAAGGATATATTATGTGTTGTTTGACTTTTGTACGATTTATGAGTTCCTTGAGGTTGCATTTGGATTTGAAGGTTTGAGTTTGATGAGTTTTTGGGTGAAGGATTTTGAATGACTCCATAAATTTTATATCCACCAGAAAAAATCTAAAACTAGTTCAAAGTGAGAGTCAATGATTGGAACCTATTGTGCATTGAATTCATCCAAACAAGCTCCATAGATTTGAAATCCTTCTATCCGAATGCAACTTTATATCTGTAAACCCATAATTTATATGATATCTGTAAGTGCTATTAGAATCAGCGTCCTTTGCAGCACCAATCACTTCTATACGAAGTTATTTAGGAATTTTCTATTTTTTTCCTTGAAATATATAAGTTCTAGGTATATATACCTGAGGTCTCTGTTGTTCTATATGTGGTTCAGGAGAAGGCGAAGGCTCAAGAGGAGCAGCGGCGGAATAAGCAGGAATTTAGGCAATTTCTCGAATCCTGTGGCTTTATCAAGGTATATTTGTTGATGAGTTCTTAATCATTTCTCTTCCCTATATCCTCTCCCTGTTCATTTCAAAAGCCTGATCATTGGTAAAAAAAAATATTTATTTATGTGTAGGTGGATAGCCAGTGGCGGAAGGTTCAAGATCTTCTGGAAGATGATGAAAGATGCACTCGCCTTGATAAGCTAGACAGGCTGGACGTTTTTCAGGTTAGATAAGATTCATGATTTAGTAAATTTCTAATAATAGGCATCATGTGCTTCCCTATTATTACATGTGCTTTTTGGTTGCCTTCTCTTTCAACCTGTCTTTGCCTTGGAGAAAGTGAAAGTGATTTATAAGTTCTTACTTTTAAACCTGGAACCTGCTTTATGGAAGTTATGTACTTGTGTGCGTATTTATATGTGTGGTTGTGCAGGATTATATCCGTGACTTGGAGAAGGAAGATGACGAGCAGAAGAAGAGACAAAAGGTATCCCGGGAGCAAATGTATTTGTTAGTTTTCTCTAATCTGATTTGTTCTTTATTTTGACGATTTGTTCTGCACATCAAGGAACAATTGAGACGAACTGAGCGTAAAAATCGTGATGCATTTCGCGAGATGATGGAAGAACATATTGCTACTGGCACTCTCACTGCTAAAACTTACTGGCGGGACTATTGTCAGAAAGTATGCTGTCTTTTCTACTATTCCTAATCAAACATATCAGTGGGCTTGATTAATAAAACTTTTCCCTGTTATTCATCAAAAGTTTATCTTTCCCTGGTTATTGTTGTTTCTTCTAGTTCATATTGTTCTACTCTTGTATTTCTAATGTTGCATTAACGTTATAGGTCAAGGATTCTGAGCCCTATGCGGCAGTTGCCTTGAATACTTCTGGTTCCACCCCCAAAGATTTGTTTGAGGATGTTGCGGAAGAACTAGTGAAAAAGGTACTTCTGTGTTATGTCCCTAAGCTTAAAGTTTCATGGTCAAGGCTTAGGCCTTTAGACCTAGAGATCTTAAATAAGAATCTCGACAAAAGATTTTTGTATTTTCAATAATTTATGTATTTCTCCTCGCACTAAGTATTTCCATCTGCTTTGCCTTCATTATGTTTGTGCTTTTTTGTTTTTATCAATGGTGCTATTGAGGTATATTTGTTTTTATTACTTAATCATCACCATCTTTATTTATTCGGCAGTATGATGAAGACAAAGCCCGCATAAAGGATGCTTTGAAGCATGAGAAGGTATAATTTCTATTCCATCCAAGAATCTATCATGTTGTTTTATATTTTGAATGAAATATATTCTTTGCTTGTGTTCTTAGGTAACAATTGCATCAACAACGACATTTGATGACTTCAAGTCCTCAATTGAAGAAAGCATTGGTTCCCCCTCAATATCTGATATTAATTTACAGGTATTAATTTTGCTACTCTCTTTCCTAGTTTCACAACGTAGGATTCAGTTGCTTTCTTTTAAGCACATAGTGAACGAATTGAAAAGTGTTTTGTACTACTACCTATTTCAATTGGAACTTACAGCATTCATCATGACCAGTGATTTCTTCACCTCTGATTCATGGTGATGCACAGTTGAAACTTCACAATAATGGCCACTACTAATATATTAGCTTCCACACCCCCCCACCCCCCCCCCCCCCCCGAAAAAAAAATTTTTGGCAAAAAGATCCTTTTTTTACTGGAAAAGAAATTTCCAAAGACTCCTAAAAAAAAAGGGGAAAGGGTAAAAATATTCCCCTGGGAATTACCGGTAAGGGGTTCGCCACCCTTAAATTGAAAAGTTTTGCCTTCCGGAATTTCCCTTTTCTTTCCGGATGGAAAACATTTGAGTTTTTCATGTATCCACCGAAAATTTGCCCGTTACCGGGGGAGTGCCTTAAGTACTATTATGAATGTGAATTGCAGCCTTGTGTACGAGGATCTAATAGATAGAGCTAAAGATAAAGAAGAGAAAGAGGCTAAGAAGCTTAAACGGCTGGCCAAAGATTTCACCGATAAGTTGAGCACAATCAAGGTATGTGAGACATTCTTGAGGCTGAAAGAGGGATATTACAACGTGTTTCATAGTTTTGCCGATAATTTGTTTGGAGAACTGTCGCCTAATTTGTTTACTTTTTCACTTCTACTAGGAAATAAATGTGTTGTCTACGTGGGAGGAATGCAAACATCTTGTTGAGGACAGCTCAGAATATAGGTAAACTTTTTTCTCAATTGGAGAAGACATGCAATGCAAATTGTTTGGAATAGTGACTATCCAGAGTACTTAATGTTCTCCTGTCTCATACTTTGTTGTTGTTCACTAGGTCTGTTGGAGATGAAAGTTCCTGCAAGGAGATATTTGATGAATATATATCTCGTCTGCAAGAGAAAGTAAAGGAGAAGGAACGCAAGCGAGAGGAAGACAAGGTAATGAAAATCTGTTTGCTCGAACTAGCTTTGACCAATGCCATGTTGAGATCATACTTGCTGTCATTAGGTTGTGTCACTGGCTGAACATCTAATACCTTTTGTGATAGAATCTCCCTGTGTCGATAAAAATTCATGTATCCATGGTAAATTTTAGCAGTTACAAACTTACAGTGGTAGTTCGTAAGTACCGTTTGGATGTGTCACTGCACTATATTGAAAGAGTTGAGTCTAATATTTCGTAATTATTGGTGGAGCGGTGACACGTGTTTTCTTTGGACAGCTAATCTAAATGTTTCTTTTGTAGGCGAAAAAGGAGACTGAGCGGGAGGAGAAAGAGAAGAGAAAGGACAAAGAAAAAAGGGAGAGAGAGAAGGAAAGAGAGAAAGATCGAGACTTGGATCGAGAAAAGGAGAAGGGGAAAGATAATTCAAGAAATGATGAAGAGATGGAGATTGATGATGGTGTGGAAAGTCAAGGACACAAAGACGAGAAGAAAAGGGAAAAGGACAAAGACAGGAAACATAGAAGACGGCACAAGAGCCCAACTGATGATGTCAGTTCTGATAAAGATGACAAAGATGACACAAAGAAGTCCCGCAGCAGACATGGCAGTGACCGTAAAAAGTCAAGAAAGGTAATTTTAATATATATATATATTATCCACTGATGAAAAATTCTGATTCTTTCTTTTCAACCACGTTAATCTGATACTCTTCTTTATGTTTATTTCAGCATGCAAATTCGCCCGAATCAGATGGCGAAGGCAGGCATAAAAGGCACAGACGAGACCACAGAGATGGTTCCCGACGAATTGGTGGTCATGAGGAGCTTGAAGATGGTGAAGTTGGTGAGGATGGGGAGATCCAATAAATCTTTTTACTGCACAGTTGACTTTGCAGGATGACTCGATTTTTCTCCCTGCTGTAAGCAGATAATGTGAGTCCAGAAAAATGCTTTCCCTTCAAGATATATTTAGGATACTTTTTGAGTAGTTATCCGTATCTTCTGTGAATGTAATTTTGTTTCAGTCATACTATTTGTAATATTTAGATGCGCCTTTTTTTTTTCCTTTCTGTGTATTCCAGTTTTAGGATTAATCTGTTAACGTTTGTAAGCGATAGAGATGGTGAGTTATTGCGTTTACCATCTGCCTGAGATATAGTTAGACAATTGTGCATGACATTTAGAGTTCAAAGTAGTAGCTGCTGACGTGGTTAGAAGAATGTAGTTTTCTGAAATTGTGCCTTTTCAGATCTTCGGTAAGAATCTAGTGAAAGAGTTGGATGATGGTGGAGAAGAAACGATGAGAGAGGATGTAGACAGATAACTATATTTTGGGATTCTTGTATGTAGCTGCACAGGTTTGCATCTCTTACTTGGGAACATGTCTTTCTGAATTTTTTTTTTTTTGGTTTAATTTTAAAAATATTTTTCAAGAAAAAAGAAGAATGATCTTTATTTTTGTAACGATTACGAATTGTTTGGATTATCGAGCTGAAAATTGTGTTCGATTGAGTGAATTTGACGTCTTATTTGAACAAATGTGGTAAATTTTATGATGGCAACATTTTGTAAAATGATAATAGAAAATTAGAATGTAATGATAGTGCTGTGCTGCTGGCTATTAGAATTTACTTGTTAGCATATGCAGTTTAATAAGAAATTTACTCACTTTTTAATAGGATTTTTACTTACTGGTGTTTAATAATGTACGAGTCAACCATTAATTTATAAAGTAAGGCCTCGTTTAGTTGCGTAAGTTAAGTTCAACAAAAAACTACTTCAAATGATATAAGTCATGATAACATAATATTTGTGGGTCGACTAAATAAGTTATAGCGGATACCAAACATGAAAAAAAAATCCAGTTATTTAGTTATTAATAACTAATCTCACTTAATAAATGTAATGACTAATTTCACCAACTAAATGAGACCTAATATTATAAACATGTTCTCTTGTGGAAGAAAAAATGGTGCATTAGCATATTGGTTAAAGCCATGATGAATGTAAAATCGACTTGGATATAAAGCAAAAGTCAATTGATTTTTTTCATCTTTATTAATTTAGCACTCGTAATTTTCGTCATTATAAATACTCCTTTATCTGTAAGAAGTTTCTTGTTGAACCACCAAAACATTGAAGATTATAACGAGTCTTTTTCATATTGGAATTTAATAACTTGAATGGATAAGATTTCACAACTTTTTATTCTTATTTAAATATAATTTGACTCCATACCATCGCAGATATCTTCATTAAAATACAAACAATCATCACCTTATTTTTTAAATTATATTTCTAGAATTATCCGTTAAAATCAAATAAGCTTGAGTTCGAGCCCTATAAATAATACTCGACGAGTTCCAGCTCGTCAAAATGGATTTGAGCTCGACTCTTCTCTTACCCTAATCTCTAACAATAAATTTTACTTAAATACTATCTAAATGGCTCTTGAAAAGACAGAAATCTACCAACCATTTGTCCTTGAGACAATATCTTTTTCTTTCTTTTACTATTTGGAGTTTGGTCCCAACTCCAAACTTTTGTTGATTTGATGGGACTGCATATCCATTTCCATTCCTGCCGACAACCTTTTTTTTTTTTTAATTTTAATTTTATTTTATATATATAACCTAATTAATAATTATAATTGCATGTAAGAATTCAACGCACTTAATTACCTTTGGTTACATGCAATTATTTTGGCACACGAGGACAGTGTTACACTAATTAATCTTATAAAGTTGTTAAAGTTGATTTTGAATGATAATTACACAAACTTTAAATCTTTCAATAAAGCAATTCATGAATTTCGTAGAACAATAGTGATGGAACAAAAAAATTACTTAATCCAACCAGTTGCTCTCGTTAACGGAAATTTATATATTAATTTAATTAAGAAAAACACGACTCTTCGACTAATTAATGTCTACGAAAAAATCATCACAACCCTTGTAAACTATATAGGATTTCATAATTCTTATCTATGAATATAATTGGTTGTCCTCTTCGTCTGAGAGATCGAGCATGATTTATACCTAGATGAACTTTACAGTTCAAAAATTCCATTGGGTACGTAAAAACAGAATTAGAGTCGGAAGGTTAATTGGATCAACACGTAAGAATCCATATCGGTTATTTATTGCCCTTCTTTTGTTCTGATCCATGCATTGCACTGAACTTAAATATTCATCGTAAATGGAAGTTATTTTCAAGAAAAAAGTTAAGAGGGGAAAAAAATAAACAGATAAAAAGATCGTCATGTGCATGTAAAAAAGTAACAGCATCCATAAAGTTTTAGGTCTTTATTCAAGATTCATTCTTTGTAGCAAATACATTCGAAACCCGGAAAAGATATAATACCTTCTGCCATATCGAGGGCGTCTTTTATTTTCGTTGGAGAGATGTCAAATGTTAAAAAAAAAAATTAGATATGTGTGTTGTCCATTGTCAATTCTTAAAAAGTCGAGAAAAAAATTATATCCAGGGTTTATCGAATTTTATTTAATGGTGAACTGATTCATAAGTTGTAAGCTAGCTAAGACGTGTTTGATTAATTAGTTTGATCCTACCAACCATCATTTGATTTCAATTTTTAATTAACTACGAAAATTACATAATACTTTTCCCGTTAGCTAGGTTTTAGTTACTATTAATTAATTAGTAAATAGAATAAATGAATATATATAATGGTAAACCATGCAACTATGCATGCATGCAGTCACACAAACATCTTTAATTAGCAGAAAGGAACTTGGAATTTTTTATTTAAATAAATATATTGGAATATTAAGACACAA